GGAACCTTGCTCCCCCCTGGGGGTGTCCCGAGGCCGGGTGTCACCCGGTCTCCAGACCGGATGACACCCCACTGAGGCGTCATCACACGTGCGCATGGCAGGTCATCGCACATGTGCGGCCATCTAATTGACGCCTGCTGGTGGCCATCTTGGTGATGGAGGCTAGCAGAGAGAGGCGGGGACGTTCACCCAGCGGGATGAGGTATGCCACTGGGTCCCCTCCTCTCTCCTAACAGTGTCGGGCTCTCGGTCCATGACCGAGTGCCTGACTTTTTAGAGGGGGTGACACCAAAATTACTGTTTGACAATTGCGCCCATTACACTGCACATGTTACATATCACCGCAAAGGTCGCAGTGAGAGCAATAATTCTAGGGCCATTAATCAATGATAACACTAAACTGATGAGCAGTAAAAGCTTTTAAAGCGTCGCCTATGGTCAATTTTGGGTATGGTAGTTTTTTTGTGATTTCTGCGGGTGTGTGCAATTTTAAGGTTTGACATGTTTGGTGTCTATTTACCCAACATGACCCCGCCTTTTATATTTTACCAGAAATTGGGTAATAATAAATTATAACATAATCTAAAAAGATACTTTTTTTTCAAAAATTTCAATAATTTTTCCTTAATATAGTATAGCTCTATATGTCCGCAAAAAATGGTATAAAATTAATTTCACTACAGCATTACATGACGGAGTAAATGTCAGTCAAAGTACCTCAGTGCTGAATACTGAAAAAATGGCCTGGACAGGAAGGGGGTGTAAACACCTGGTCAGCAAGTGGTTCAAGTGAATTATACTGTGGCAGATTACTTAATAGTGATGCTCTGAATGTGCATGTGTTTGATTCACAGGAGTTATAATAATAGCCATAAATCTGCAAATTACAAACTTAAATCTGTGGTCAACTGGGAGAATCTTGAAAATCAGCCCTGGTCCCCTGAGCAATGGCTGTCCTGTTTCAGAATGGCACCTTTCCCTTGCAGCGTCCACCTTTGCATGTGCTAGCAAGCTGTGTGTGACTACACTCCTTCTGCTTCCTCCCTTCTCCAAGCTTACCAGCTGCTTGAGACTGCTCTGTTCCTTGTAATCTTGTACACAACAGGAAGTTCAGGGAAGCTGAGCTGAGAGAGTTGGAGCCAGCTGTTTGGAAACATGATGAACTTAAGTGCTTCAAAAAATATACTTTACTGGGCAATGTATATTTGTTGGATCTGGATTCATGATTGAAAAAAAGAGAGTTTAATACTACTGCTTTAAGTATTACTACTTATTACTACTTAGTACTTTAACATTAGAAATATACAGTTTCTTCAAATAACATGGTTGGGGAATATGATACATTTGCATATGAAGGAATATATAGAAATAGACGTTTGGTATGGATTTTTAAGGGGGACCCCACACAAAAAAAACAATAAAAGGACCCTCCCCAAAAGTCATGCCAGACCCTCATCTAGGCATGCAGCCTGGCTGGCCAGGAAAGGGAGTGGTAGCAAGCATGCACCCCTTCTCCTGAACCATACCATGCCATTTGCCCTCAACATAGGGATATTGGTGGGGACAAGGGCCTCATTCTAACATCTGCTCCCCAAGAGGATGTGGGGGTCAGTGTCTGTAGGGGGGACATTTTACAATCTGGAAGCACCTTTAATGTAAAGGGGCCCCTAGATATCACCCACCCATAGTAAATTAGTTTTTAATGATCTAAATAACAATGGGAATTAATAAGGTTCACATGTGTCCTAGTGATGCACAGTTTAACCACTTAAGCCCCAGACCTTTTTCTCCCTAAATCCACTTAAATCCCAGAGCGTTTTTTGTTTCAGCGATGTCAAAGTTCCGCAAGTTATGTCTTTTAGGTTTTGTGGTCTAGTCTAACATATTATACATCATCTTTTTGGGAGAGCTAGGGCTTTAATTTGGTAGCAAATGTAGATACATATATTTTTATTAATTTTGTTTTAATCGGGAATAAATGGTAAATATTTAGAAAAATATGCATTTTTCTGTAATTATTCCCATCCCGACATTTACATCATTTGTGCATCCCCATGTATTTATCAACAAAGTTTGCTTTTATGTAATGTAGTGGAATGGCAAAGCTCAAAGTTAACATATGGATTTTACTTCAGGAGAGTTTTATCCCACTTTTGACAATATATTGTAATGCATTCAGGGGCAACAAAACTGTTTATGTAAATTGTTAGCATAATATTAAGATGACATTAAATCGGGTTGACCAGAGCACAAACTGGCATGAAGACTTTACAGGTTTGCAATTGCTAAACATTAGAATGACATTGCAGGCACTTACATAAGCATTTGATGCTTGCGTAGTAAACATCCAGATCATCTGACATCATTGTTGGGAGAGCTCCTGGTTGCTGCAAAAAATCAGGAGGGCTGACTCTCAATCATGTGTTCGCTGTAACAGCCAATCATAGCAAAACACACCACAAACATGTATACACCTCTGTAGTGTGTTCCCTCCCATCATGATCTATGGGTGGAATCTAAACACCTTTGTAGTGTGTACACACCCAGCAGGTGTGTTGTGCAAAGCCCTGCATGAAGTTGCAAGGTGATCTTGTGTAAATTAGCTCTATGTTGTGTTGCTTGCGTTGATGAATGCAGGAATGTAAATGCATGAGCTAACCATTTTTGTCTAAACTGTGAAGCAGCATTATATATGCATCATGTGCATGATTTTTCCATATATGGCATTAGTGGAAATCTGCTTTTAGAGACTTTTTGGTTGATAAATACGTTTGCTGTGTGAAAATCACACGCACCTGGTGCGTGCGTGTGTTTAGGTTAGTAAATCACCCCCAGTATCTCACAGAAGTGAGTACACCCCTCACATTTTTGTAAATATTTTATTTTATCATTTCATGTGACGACACTGAAGAAATTACACTTTGCTACAATGTAAAGTAGTGAGTGTACAGCTTGTATATCAGTGTACATTTGCTGTTCCCTCAAAATAACTCAACACACAGCCATTAATGTTTAAACCGCTGGCAACAAAAGTGAGTACACCCTTAAGTGAAAATGTCCAAATTGGGCCCAAAGTGTCAATATTTTGTGTGGCCACCATAATTTTCCAGCACTGCTCTAACCCTCTTGGGCATGGAGCTCACCAGAGCTTTACAGGTTGCCACTGGAGTCCTCTTCCACTCCTCCATGACGATATCACGGAGCTGGTGGATGTTAGAGACCTTGCGCTCCTCCACCTTCCGTTTGAGGATGCTCCACAGATGCTCAATAGGGTTCAGGTCTGGAGACATGCTTGGCTAGTCTATCGCCTTTACCCTCAGCTTCTTTAGCAAGGCAGTGGTCATCTTGGAGGTGTGTTTGGGGCTGTTATCATGTTGGAATACTGCCCTGCGGCCCAGTCTCCAAAGGGATGGGATCATGCTCTGCTTCAGTATGTCACAGTGCATGTTGGCATTCATGGTTCCCTCAATGAATTGTAGCTCCCCAGTGCCGGCAGCACTGATGCCGACCCAGACCATGACACTCCCACCGCCATGCTTGACTGTAAGCAAGACACACTTGTCTTTGTACTCCTTACCTGGTTGCCGCTACACACGCTTGACACCATCTGAACCAAATAAGTTTATCTTGGTCTCATCAGACCACATGACATGGTTCCAGTAATCCATGTCCTTAGTCTGCTTGTCTTCAGCAAACTGTTTGCAGGCTTTCTTATGCATCATCTTTAGAAGAGGCTTCCTTCTGGAATGACACCCATGCACACCAATTTGATGCAGTGTGCGGCGTATGGTCTGAGCACTGACAGGCTGACCCCCCACCCCTTCAACCTCTGCAGCAATGCTGGCAGCACTCATATTTCCCAAAGACAACCTCTGGATATGACGCTGAGCACGTACACTCAACTTCTTTGGACGACCGTGGCGAGGCCTGTTCTGAGGGGAACCTGTCCTGTTAAACCGCTGTATGGTCTTGGCCACCGTGCTGCAGCTCAGTTTCAGGGTCTTGGCAATCTTCTTATAGCCTAGGCCATCTTTATGTAGAGCAACAATTCTTTTTTTCAGATCCTCAGAGAGTTATTTGCCATGAGGTGCCATGTTGAACTTCCAGTGACCAGTATGAGAGAGTGAGAGCGATAACACCAAATTTAACACACCTGCTCCCCATTCACACCTGAGACCTTGTAATACTAACGAGTCACATGACTCCGGGGAGGGAAAATGGCTAATTGGGCCCAATTTGGACATTTTCCCTTAGGGGTGTATTCACTTTTTGTTGCCAGTGGTTTAGACATTAATGGCTGTGTGTTGAGTTATTTTGAGGGGACAGCAAATGTACACTGTACACTCACTAGTTTACAAACTTCATTCTGTTTACATTTATTTCATAGCATGCTCCTATGCAGTGCTCTGTAAACTAATTGAAATCCCAGGATTTAATTGTAAGGAGCTGCTAATTCCTGCTGCCATTTTAAAATGACACTGGGAGAAATAATGGCTATCCCAGCACCATTTGAAAATGGCGGCTAGGACTCAAGAAGTTAATGATAGATCCACTTTACCTGTCATGCTATTATTGTAGGTGTCCATGAGAAGAAAAGGAAAAAGCTAATGTTCTCATATATAAAAGGGGTGATACAGAAATATCTGTCATCCGAAAACATGAGTAAGGGGGTCTCAAGTCCTTCCAGATAACTTTAAGTTCAGATAATTGTCAGGCATTGTACAGTATGTTATAACTACCAGATAGCTTCACAACACTAATATGAAAAGAAAGCTCAATCTCAATACTTGAGAACATTAAGACAGTTGTGAAAATATGGTGAATAGCCATTAGTAAACTCACAGAATTAAACATGTGTACAATTTAAAAAAAATAAGTTTTCCTAATCTCAAAAGACAGCTTGAAATTAACACTTTCATTGTCATTGACTTTTTATAAAAAGTGTCTGGTTTCTAAGCCTTACAAGTGACAAGTGTTTTGTTGTTTATTTTATCTTACAGATGTTGGGAACTGAGTGCTGGAGAAATCAAATGGATCTACCAGGCACCAATACTAGCAGCAATTGGGGTGAGATGATATTTATTAAACATATATTTATATAATATAAAATAATTAACCAACATACTTCACTCGCAATAGTGCAAACATTGTTCTATATATAAATATATTCAAATACATTAGCAGGATTTAGAGTGTGGTTAAACTATATTGAAACATCCAACAAAACCAAATATCACAAATTGGTTGCTACATTCCAAAAATGTCTCCACCCTTAATATAAAAAAAGCTGTGTGTATACTCCTACCACAAAGACTATAACCAAATGCTCAAGATTGCACAAATAAAACATGTTAAAAAACAATAAATCCTGCTTGAAAATATAACATATTTCACAAAATTTGCTGTTAATCCAAGCAGACAGTCTTAATATGGCTATCTTTGCATTTTTGAAAACAATACATAGCTATGCACGAGCTTATCCTCAGTGGTGGTGCCAATGTTGAGCATCCCCATCAGCCTCTGGCCACATGTGGCATCACCGGTTGTTGAGGACACTGTCAGCTATAGCTGACAGGTTCCTTAACAACCACTGACGTTGCCAGCGGGGGTAGAGGCTGATGGGGATGAGCATCCCCATCAAGTTCTGCGCACTTGTAGCATCACTGACTGTTAAGGATGCTGTTGGCTACAGCTGACAGCTTCCTTAAAAACCACTGATGCTGACTGTGGGAATTGAGTCTGATGGGAGTACCAAGGGATTAGTTTCCTGTCAGGTCCACTCTGCTACTGATTAACAGTAGGCAGTGGGAGAATTCTATAGCCAATAGCCAGCAGACAGCAGACCATATTGATAGGGAACTAGTTCCTTGGCATCCCTCTAGGGTCTGGCCTAAAGGCTTTCTTTATCACTGATATGGTGGTATCTCTTTATGAATTTGTCGCAACAATTAGGCCATACAGTAAACCTGCTACTACTTGAATCTATTGCATGCATTGGTACTAACAATGAAAATGTCACAGGATTTTCATAGGTGCAAGGCTTCTAGCTACAAACACACCCGAAAGTGTTACAAATGTCTTGTTGTATCACCCCATTATGTTTCTCATGATCACACAATTGGGACTTTTTTAGGAGAGAAGATTAAAAGGGATAAGAAAGAGAAAAATTATGTAAGCCCAACTATATAGGGATAAGGAAAAATAAAAAATGAAGGACCCTATAGGAGGTAGGAAGGAATATAGATGATTGGTGCTTCTTAATAGCTAGTGGATAGTGACATATGAAGATGTTTGCTGTGCTCTAGGAGGGGGGCTATTGTGGGGATGCTTTACAGGAGGATGAGTTTTTAAATTTAGCAGGATACCCACCAATTGATTGAACTAGAAGAAAGTAAACTGCTAGAGGAAAAGAAAAAGAGGAAAAAAGACCGACATTTCTACCATTGCCCCTACATTTTTTTTAATTACCTTGACCTTTTTAAAAAAAATTGGTTGTGAAGACATAGAAAAACAAGGAAAATACACAAAGGGAAGGATAATTTAACATGGAAGAACCGTACTTACTGACCTGAAAAATGATGACAACATTGTCATTAAGATACCAGATAATGGCTCATACAGTGTATGTAGTGGTAATGGGCTGAGAAAAGTACAAATCTATGTTTAAAAAATATCAAATAAAGCAAGTTATAGAAAATTAGAGAAATCAATGAGAAGATGATAACATTTTTTTTTTTGTAGCATTTTAGATGAAGCTTATGATAATGGTGTAATAAGTAAGGAAGAAAGGGATATGATGAGGGTAGAAGAACTGAAGATCCCAACATTCACACATAGTCTGCCCAAAGTACAGAAGGATTTAAAAAATCCCCTAGGACACCCTATAATATTGGGATATGGTAACTTAACGAAGAAAGCAAGCAGATAGGTAGATAAACAACTAAAGGCAGTTTTGCAGCTTTATAAACTATAGGGAGATCTTAATAAAAACAATAAAAGTAATTTGGATCCCAGAGGGGGCTTTTTAGTGGAGCTGGATATCAGGGCCTTATGTCCAAGCATCCCACATAAGAGGGAGTTAGAATGTGTGGAAAAAATGAGGAACATAATAGGGGAAATGTATCAAAACTACCAGACAGAATTTGGAACAGTTGTCCATAGTAACAAATCAGATTCTATCTTCAGTTTGTTGAGTTAAGTTTTGAAAATGAAAGATAGAAGATGATTGGTTGCTATGGACAACTGCTCTAGAATTTATCTGACATAGTTTTGATGAATTCCTCTCAATGAGTTTAATTTTAATATTTTACATTTCATCTTAACACATAACAACTTTATGTTTGGTGTTTTCCCCTATACCCAGGTACAGGGATCAGCTATGAGCACAACGTGTGCACCATCATATGGCAACTTGCAACTGAGTTGGTGGGAACACCATATATTTTTGGATAAAGAGTACTGTACAAGAAGTTTGTGTAGAAAGTAGAAATGTAGTTTCACTTCATTGATGATGCTGTCCTATGATGGACAGGAACTTAAGGCTAAATGAGTTTATAACTAAAACAAATTTATAAATAATATAACACAATTAAGATCTAATTGTAGACACTGGATCTTGTCAAAAGTGGATGATGAGGCAAGTAATAATATTGTGAGGGTGTATAGTCATCATCCTAAACACAATTTTTAGGGCTCCTGCACATGGTGTATAATAGATTGTACTCAGTTCTGTTCTATGTATAATTTTATATGGGTCTAAATGAAGCAGTAGTGTATACTATTGGCACATTTACACAGCTGCATTATACTCTGCAGCATTTAGCTTGCATAAACCAAAACAAAAAAATTATATGTCCACAGCCTGATTTTAACCTTGTTTTACGTGGTACACATATACATTTTGGGGCAAACGTTTACATGCATAATGCAAAAGTAGACATGAGCCATGGCCACTTCCTAACTAGTAGATGGACAACTGCTGGAGACTAAGCTGTCCCGTGTCATTGTTTACTGGACACTAAGTTTAGGAAATCAGAGCTCAAAGAGTTGGGGCCAGAAGTTCAGAAGCATGATAATAGTAAGTTCTTGGACAAAAATGTAAGGGCCTGCATCGTACATATATCGGTGACCTGCACTGCTTCACAGAGCTGCATTTCTGCATGCTGCACTTCATCACAGAGCACTGGGTGCCATTACAAGTCACTGCACAGCATATACTCCACATAAAGTAAAAAAAGAAAAATGTAAACAGTGACTGCTCCAGCATAATAATAATAATAATAATAACAACAATAATTAATGTATGTCTGAAGGAATTGAGGTGCACTACGGATTGTTTTTACAAGGGACCTTACTGTCAGATTTCTGCCAGAAAGATCTTGCATGAGGCCTAAAGGGGATATGAACAGGATAATATTTTTGAGTAAGGAGGAGGAGAATTATTGGATGGAAGCAAGGGTTAAAAAAGGTGGTATATTAGAAAATCAGGGTAGTAAGGATCGAGAAAAAGGAAACATTAAATTGATGACTACTGATTGCAGTCATGTGAATAATTTAGGAAGAATTTTGAAAAAGCACTGGCCAATATTAATAAATTATTAAAAATTGTAGGCACAAAATTGGGGGACAAAATTGTTATAACATATAGAAGAGCAGGATCATTAAAGAATGCAATGGTTAAAATGTTATTGTAGAAAGAAGAAAGATCTCTGTAATAGTAGAGGAATATACAAATGTGGAGATTGCAAATACTGTAAATGTATTAGAGAAGAGCACAATTAACTGTCCAGGTGGGAAACAAATACTTAATAATCATGAAGCGGAAGGCTCTACAGATTATGTAATATATTTTATTGGTTCTGAAAAATGTGATACAGTCTATATTGCAAAAAACATCAAGGTGCTGAAGGATTTATGAACACCAATATAGCTTTGTGTCAGGGAATATAAGAGCCGCTGTGGGGCAACATTTTAAATTAAAAACCTGATGGAAGTGGAGGGTTTATTTGTGCAAATTGAGGATAAATTGCATCCATGTCCTAGGGGGAGACTATGATAGATAATTATTTTGTAGGGAAGTAAATGGATATCAAAACTGAGAGGAAATGTACATCCTGGTCTGAATGAGAACTTGTATTTTCCACCCCTCCTTTAAGAAGAAAAGGTTCTGTCCCTTTAAATATCCCTAGACATTATGAGACACAATTTGGAGAAACTGATAGGTGACTGTTTTTTTAAACAATGGAGTTTTTCATGGTGTGGTATCTTTCCTTAATTTATAACTCTTTGTGGTAATATGTAAGGGGTACTAATGTACTCCTGTACTAATTCCCCTGAGACAAGGGGAAAGGTTATCTGAGTGCCCCTTAATCTAAAGGAGGCATTCCTTAACTACAAGGAATGTAACAAAAATGCAAACTAGTAATCCGGGAAGCTAAAATAGAATGCGAAAAGCATATCGCCACAGTTAGTAGTTTTTTTCTCCTCAGTATACACTCAGGAGGGAAACGGGTTCGACGTACCTGATAAAACACATAGTTCAACCGATAATATACCGCAATGGTTGACGGAAAGCGGGATACAACAAAGACTTAAAATGCTCAATGCAAATAAAGCAGTGGGACCAGATAACCTGCACCCCAAGGTACTTAGGGAACTAAGCCAGGTTATAACAAGACCATTATTCCTAATTTTTAAGGAATCCTTAGTGACTGGTAGGGTACCATGTGATTGGAAGTCTGGAACTCATTGCCACTGGCAGTGATTTCAGCCAAGAGTGTAGATTTGTTCAAGAAACTTTTGGACAATTTCTTGAGGGACCGTAATATTCAGGGATACAAGTATCCCTAAGAATGAGATGATGCGTGGACCTATATGGGTTGGACTTTATGGACGTATGTCTTTATTCAACCCCAAATACTATGTAACTATGTAAATCCTATTAGTCCCTCTTCCCACAATTCCATACATTCTCTCAACATTGGGCAGGGTGCCTTGAAAAGGGGGTGAAGCATTGTTGAATGGCATGTGGCTTGGTGTGGTTAAGGAGGGAGCACACTTTCACCCTC